CAATTCTTCTATTATAACTTTAAAAGTTTAAATGATTTCAAAACTGTATACTCTTATACCTGAACTGTAAGAAATGATTGAAAAATTAATACAGCGTTTGCATCGATTATCTATATTTAAAGAGGATTGCCTCATGACTTCAAACTGAGAATCGAAAGACAAATTGAACGCTTAGTTAGCCTAACTTGTCAAATATTTCAAATTCACAGTTTTTTTTATAATTAACACTAAGTCTTTATAATTTTGTAGACTTCATTTTCACACACTGTTCCATATAACTCAGGTAAGTGAAGTAAATACAACATATGTACTTACCCACGGAAGGAGGGGGATTTTGAGATTGAGAATCCAATAGTCATACGCCTCCTTTTCGCCGTCAACTGGCAAATATTACATGCAGATCTTTTCGGCAAACAAAACTGTAATTACCGATAATCAGCACAGCAGTTGTTGGGGAATTGTCATTACGTACCTACGGAACTAAACATATTTCTAGATTATCCTGCATAATAACGATCCCGAAGACGTTTGATGAATTAAAGTTTAATAGTGCAGGGATACAGGCGCGCCGCTCTATCTGGTAAATCACGGGTAGTAACCTCGTCATATCGAGAAGCGTTTAGTACAGTGATGTTGTCATAGTTTGGTTAAGATGAACATGGTTGTGTCAAGTTACTTCCCCGAACAATTGCCTCAGTTCTATTCAAACGAGCAAATAAAACGCAAATAAGATGTTTTAATTTGCATTGTTAGTCAAACGATCTACATTGGAATTGTTGTTTTCAAGAAACTAACGCAGAATAAGCAAACTATTGAAATTGCTATGGTTTGGTTAAGTTATGACATGGTTCGGTTAAGAGTCTAGAAATTCGTCATGGTTTTGATCAAGTTTGTCATGGTTTAGATCCAAATTAATATATATGTGTTTCAGCTCAATATTGATAGTTTGTTTAAAAACGCTTGTAATAAAACGAAGTTACACAATTTACCAACTGACTAAGAAGAAAAAAAGCCTTTTAAACCAAAATTAGATGTGTTAATTGGAAAAGCGTACATTAAACAATTTAACTGTTCGTGACTTGTCTTTGTATGCAAATCGTACTACTACGAGTGTCTTGTAAAAGAATTAGGAATATAAATGAGCACTCATGTAATCCCACATACAAAAAAAATCATTTGACAAGGATGAGATTTTGGTGATTCATAAATTCTTAATAGCTTCAATGAACATTACTTTGAGCAGCAAATAGGAGGACTTACCTTGTTTGTATTGGATACCTAAGCTTCACAAAATTCCATACAAACAGTCATACATTGCCAGCTCATCTACATGTTTGACGAAAGAATTGTCCATTTGATTGACAAAGATTCTTTCCGCAATGAAAGAGGGTTTTCAGAAATACCGCGAAACTGTTTACTCGCGTAGTGGTATTAACCATATATGGATTTAAAAAAAAACTCTTAAAGAATCTCTAAATAAATGTAAAGCCCGATGTTTCTCTAAAATTAGTTCTATCTGTTCAACTCTGTGTACCACCATTCCCTATGTGTAATTGAAAAATCGTCTAAAAGAAATAATTTAAATCTACATTGCTTTTCAACATAAAAATGGTATCGCACTCTATACATTTATTACTTTTGGATACCATACGGCATATTTTGTTAATAGTGAACAAAAAAATAAAACATGATACACAGAGGAACAAGTGACCAGTATGCTGGAGTTTCTTATTGACAAAATATTTGTTGAATTTGGAGGTAGACTTTGTCACCAAACTGTCGGTATTTCTATGGGAGCGAACTGTGCGGCAGCGACCTCTTCTTATCTTCATATTAGTCGGAGTTCCTTCAGACATTTGTAAAAAACAAGAAGATCAATGAAGCCAGATAATTTAATTTCACATTCATATATATTGATCTTTCCATTAACAATCCAGACTTTTCTGATTGAATTCCATTAATATATCCCCAAGAACTAGAAATTAATGGAAAAAACAGACACGGATTCCTCTGCCTCATTTTTAGACTTAACTTCGAATTTGACATCAGCGGTCATCTTATTACCAGAATCTATGACAAACGAGACGATTTTAATTTTAAAATTACCAGTTTCTCCAACCTTAGTAGCAATATACCAACTTCTCCTTCACATAGGATATACATTTCCCAACTCATTTGATATTCAAGAGCTTGCAGATGCTACTCAGACTTTGTAAACCGTCACCAGTGTCTGAGTAGAAAGTTGATGAACCAGTGGTATGTCAAAGAACGTCTCGTCCTTTTTCCTAAAAAGTTCATCGGAAGACCTTGTGGGTAAATATTCCTTTTCGACTTCACAAATAATAAAAGATGGTCTTTAAGTAAAGATTCCAAGTACTGACGTTGTTTGTCACCTTAATGGCGTGTTATGGTACTCTTTTATTTGTCTTTGTAAATTATTACTTTAACTGTTTAGTCTATTTTTGGCCCAATCCATTTGACGTGGCTCGGTACTTATACATCCCGTCATTGTGTTATTGTGCTATGGTAAATTTTTGTATTCTTGTCTTTCGTTTTTGCTTATGTGCTTTGTCTATATGCCTTTTTGTTTTTCTTTGTTGAAATATTTGTTTTGTTTTTATAGTGACTTAGATTATAACACAATATTGCCTGCTGTACCCTTATTTTTTGACATTTATTCCTATTATGTCTGTTTGTTTTGTTCACACATCGTCGTCAAATAATGGAATTTTATGCGACTGTCATACATGTGAGAGGTTAAGCTGGCTATAAAACCAGGTTTTATCCACCATTTTCTACAGAACAAAATGTCTGTACCAAGTCAGGAATATGACAGTTGTTATCCATTCGTTTGATGTGTTTCAATTTTTGATTTTGCCATTTGATTAGGGACTTTCCGTTTATAATTTTCATCGAAGTCCCGTATTATTGTTATTTTGCTTTTATAATTTAAATAGTCAAAATGACTGCTCTTTTAAACTAACTTTTGAGATAATAATTATAAAAACAGAAAGCGCTGCTTCTGTTTCAAATAGATTATTTTCTCCGTATGTCCATGATTGACTCTGTCGATGATATCGTGAGCGGCATCACTTGTAAAATTTGTAAAAACATCTACTTCAAGTTGCAAACGTATCAGCTAGTCAAAAAGTAATTTTTGTTCTACTTTTTTTTTCTACTAAACTATATATATCTGTTGTTTTACTTTGAACCAGTCTACGATGAATAAAAGGAGATGTGGGTTTATACGCCAATGCTAAAGTATCCCAACTACAAAACTAACCAAACGATATCAAGAGGACACATCCACGAAACAAATAGTTAACGCGTGACATGGACAACAGTTAAAACTTATTTGTTTTATAAACTATTAGCAATATTAAGATAAAAAAAAAAAAAGAAATACACACAAGTTCAGAATTTAAATATATGAAAAATCACAATTCCGAATTAGAATGAAGCCGATTTAATGTCCACTTTAATCAATTATTATTACGAACGAATAAAAAATGATTATGTTTTTGTAATATTGACTAATACATTGGTTTTCTCATTTAAATTTTTTAATTTTGTCGGAGCCTTTTATAGCTTGCTAAAAGGTATGGATTTTGTTCATTGTTGAAGGCCGTACGACGACATATAGTTGCTTACATCTAAGTCATTTTGGTCTCGGGTGGATAGTTATCTCATTGGCAATCCGACCGCATGCACTTTATATATATAATACTACATTGAATGTGCGTATATATGTCCTTTTGTATTCCAAATAAAACGATTTAAAAAAGAGTATTTCAATATATAATGTCTGTTTACTCTTCCTTCATTCACGAATAGAATCACATAACTGAACCATGTTCAACATGAAATAAACCATGACACGAATGAACCAAACCATGACACCGAATATTCTGTAATCTCAAATTGTGTGCACTAGGGGCTGTTTTTCGGGAAAATTGACGGCAGTTTTATATCATAACAAACTATTTGATGTAGCAGGCAGTAGGCAAACCACTTTTCTTTATGCATTTGAAACGAATCACAACTTTTAAATTTTGACATACGCAAGCATTGTTCTGTGTCAAATTAATAACTATATGATACAAATTTTGATGTACTAACATCTTAGCTATAAACAAAGATACTTACCAGCTTGAATTTGTTGTCATTATTTCCTTTAACAAACTATTCGAATGTTTATATTTTGACACTGTTTGTCATCAAAAACACTTAACACAACCATGTTCATCTTAACCAAACTATGACAAAATCACTGTACTAAACGCTTCTCGATATGACGAGGTTACTACCCGTGTAAATGACGTCGTCGTAAAGGCACGCATAATTGACGAACTTTTCCGGTGAAGGACAAAACTAAAAAACCCTTATTAGATCACCTTTTAATAGAAAATCCATCTATTCACACAAAACATGGTAAACTTCGTTTTATTTAAGAACTGAATGCTTCTTTTTTAAATGTTATTGGGGTGTAAAAGCGTTGACCGAAGCACATTTTTTCCGAACTTCATACCAAAAATGTGCGCATGGTCAACGCTTTAACAAACCTATAAAATGAAAAAAATAAAGAAGCATTCAATTCTTATAAATACACCATGAAATAACGAGTTAAAGCAATATTTTTTTTGTTTTCCTATGCATTGTTGTGAAGTTGTCATGAGAAGCTTGTGCTATCATGAATATTGAATTTCATTGAGAAATACAATTTGATATCGTTATGCCCAACAACTGCTTTCAGCCAATCTAAAGTACGGATTTTTATGAAACAAACATGTATTGTAATTATCTTATTGTTTAATCCGCCTATTATTTCCTTTCCAGTCATTATTGATTATAACTCTTTCGGGTTCTGAGACAATTGAAATTTTTAGTAAATATAAAGTTGATTGATTTATCGTTTTTTAAAAGGTGCTTCACCAATGCATACAGCAAAAGAAGTGTTCCGCCTTCGGATGGGGACCTACACAAAAGATGAAATAGTTGACATGAGTATACCGATGCAAGACTTCATTTTATTGTGCAGATACCAAGGAGCTACCTGTGAATCAACGTGAGTAGTTCTATACCAAAAGCTCGTTTAGAAATTACAAAATCGTAACTTCTCGGCCATTCTCGCTACCTTCGGCAATTGTCGGTAGGTAGCGAGAATGGCCGAGTAGTTACGATTGGAAATTCCCAACATAAAGAACACTTTATCGTATATTTACAAAATATAGAAATGTCAACAGGTAACGAAAAGAAAATTTTATTATGCCCCCGCAACAAAATGTCGAGGGCATATTAATTTACCCCTGTTCATCCGTCCGTCCGTTCGTCCGTCTGTCCGGATCATGGTTTGTCCGGCTATCAACTCCTGACAGTTTTTGAGCTACAGCTTTAATATTTTGTAGGTTGTTTGTATACACAATGGAAGTGTGCATGTCCACAGGATTTTATTTTTTTCAAATATTCTCAAAATGCTAGGTATTTGGACTTAGTCATTTTGTTTTGTACTAAAAGTCAGAAGGGGCGATGTTAGATATTCACAAAAAACGGTTGTTGGACTTCATTTCTTTCTCACTTGCTATATAATTGAAAATATGGTTTGTACTACTACAGTTTAATTTCTCTAATGCAATAAATAAGATTGTTTAGTATTGTTAAGTATTTAAATCAATACGGGAAGTTGAACTTAGTGACCACTGGAAATAGAAAGTTGAACTTAATGACCACTGGAAATACAAAGTAGAACTTGGTGACTACTAGAACTGGAAAGTTGAAACCTTTTGGCTGAACATTCAGTCCTGCAAGTGTAGACATTCAGAATAAAAATAAAAGATAGATAATCATACATAGTGTTAAATTCATAATTTCTTATGGTAAGGTTGGGGCATCATATGTGTCTTACAGACAGCGCAACAATTTCAAGTTGTATTTCAACATCACTGTTTGTCAAATCTTAAGTATGTGGAACTATACTCATGCATATGGCAGAGCAGAGGGGGCATCGTCCATATCTATCTTTTTTTTATGTTATATTTGCAAATAACCAATTCGATTTGCTTGCTCTAGTCTGCGCAGGTTTATGTGGTTGATTTAGGGTTTTGTAATGTAACGTGGGATCTACATGTCATATGAAAATTGTTGAAATATTCTTTTATCTTTTGTTGTAATAGTCTTTCATATCTTGGACTTTTCTATTTTTCATAACCGAAAGGAAGAGAAGAGTTATTAAGAATACACATTACAATGCTTTTCTAGATACTACCAAGCTTAACGCATTTTTTGTTATAGAGAAATTAAACAAATACGAGATGAGGATTATGGAGTATGCTATACGTTTGAGCCCAAGGTGCCTATTGCAAAATTGGCAGGACCTTCCATGGGTATGTACTTAATCATTCTTGTTTGATTTGTAATTGACAGTATTTAGAATTGATTTGTTTCATTTCGACTTACTATAAAGCTGGTATACCTAAACCTTACAATTTCTTTTATTCCTTAGCCTTACAATTTCTTTTATTCCTTAGCCTTACAATTTCTTTTATTCCTTAGCCTTACAATTTCTTTTATTCCTTAGCCTTACAATTTCTTTTTTTTCTTTAACTTACATTGTCTTTTATTCCTAAACCTTACAATTTCTTTTAGTCTTTGATCTTACATTTTCTTTTATTCCCGAACCTTGCATTTTCTTCTATTCCTTAACCTTGTTAATCTTGCATTTTCTTTTTTTAACCTTGCATTCAAGTTCTTTTGTTAACCTTACAATTTCTTTTATTTTGTTACCGTACATTTTCTTTGATTTTTTAACCTTGCAATTTCTTTATTCGTTAACCAATGTCATACATTTTCTTTTATTCTATAACCTCAGATTTTATTTTTTCGTTACCCGTATAACTTTTTTTTTATTTGCTAATCTTGACTGGGTAATAGAATTGTGGGCTTTTGGACTCTCTAATCCAACACTAACGCCCATACTAAAGATGTGTGTCTGTTTAAAAGAAACTTCTTTTTTTTTTTATTATTTGTTGTCTCGGGATTTTTTTTTTTATATCATGTATGCTTACTTAAAAACAAACGTGGTGCGGATGCAGAAAAATGGGAATATGCACTTCAAAGTGTTTTGTAACACGATTATGGCGTCGACATTATATTTCTTCAGATTGATATAAAAGGGCGTATGACATTTGCGCCAATTTTCAAAATATCCTATTTTTCATGTGCGCCAAAAAACAAAAAGTTTTCATTTGCGCCAATTTAATTTGAACAGGTGAGATCTGATACATTTAGACAATTACCTTTACTTACGTTAAAGGGGCACTAGCTACGAGATATAAAAAAATTATAAAATATGATTTTTTTTCTGTTCAATCATTAATGAAAGTGGAATAGTGAAATAATAATTCGCTTTTAGCAGCCAGTATTGTCTAATTTTGTCAAAATAAGCAAATAAATATTGATGATGAATTATTCACTTGCAAGTGAATAATTCGACCTCATTGAATCCGTATTCATGTGAACTTCAATTTAACCCCTTAGATAGAGTTGGATAACGCATGAATTGTGTGCGTGTTTGATTATTTAAAGGAAAAGAATGTCAATAATGAAAGTAAACAAAGGTAATTCATTTAATTGACTGATTCGATCCTCAAAAAAATCATTCTTATACAGGTAAAAATGATGATTAACATATATTTTTAATCTATAAATGAAATTAAATTGACCTAGAAGAATCCAATTGCACGAGTTGTGCTATCTATTTATATCTTTATTTATGTTTATATCCCTTATATCGGCATAGGTGGTTTTCGTGAGGTCAACTCGACAGTTGATTAGATGGCGTCTAGACTAAAATACACACAAAACGAAGCTACATATTATCGACCCTATGCCCTGTAAATTGTTTATTTTAGATTTTTTTATAATTTGGATAAATGTTTTACATTGTTATATAACAAATATGAGAATTTGAGTCAAATCGGTGAACATGAATTTGACAGCTAGTGCCCCTTTAACCCAACGTTGAAGGTAAGTGGTGTTCAATGAGAACATGTTCATGTTATATGTACATGTATGTTTATACATGTTGAGATCATTGATTTCCGGAGGACATAATGTCTGAGGCACAAACTGATAAAAAGTGTGTTGCATTGAGTTTGTAGATTATGTACTAGACACCTACGTGTCTCCTGTTTCGCGTTTTCCGGCTCATATTTTGGCAGCACCGCCTGTTAAAAACAGTAAAAGAACCATGAATTGTTTCACTCGCACTACAATGCACAGTTTCAATCACAACACTCAAACATTTACATTTTTACATCGCGATAACCGTGAGGGCTTTCCGATGTATTGTTGCCACAGCGGTTTGACTTTCGTTTTTGAATGGTAACCGATCGTATAAATACGTGGACATTATCGAGTGCAAAATAACATTCCTTATCGCTTGTTATAAATTCATTTCTTTAATGAATACTCATAAAAAAAAATTTTTTTACAACATAAATTAATAATATGAAAATGTTTTGTCGATAGAAATATATATATAAGTAAACAATCATTAATATCTATGCACACGTACAGAAAAATTGTGTTAACGCATGCGGAAGAATATCACAAATACGTTTTGCGGGAAAATATGAATGCCTACTCAAATCCAATCTATTAGAAAAATCGAATTATTACAGAAGAGTGTCCACCATGCACTTGCACTGCACTATTATTAGAATAGTAGGAGAGAATGATATACAAATGGATGAAAATTATATATACATGTAACTCTTATATACAAATATTAATATAATATATAACAACAAACCAGAGTATACTGATTTTTATCACTACAATATAATAGTTATTATGGTGAGGTTGAATTCCCTGTCATTTATTCATCATCCACGCACGAACTTGTCTCAGAAAAAAATATATCTCTGTACATTAACCTCACTTGCAGGTAGGCTCCGTGTTGAAGACCATACTTTGACCTATAATGGTTTACTTTTATAAATTTTGACTTGGATGGGGAGTTGTCTCATTGGCATTCATACCACATCTTCTTATATCTATATAGAGATGTGATTTTTTTTCTGAGACAAGTGTTTGTGACCATCCACAAGAACTTGCGGTTATCCGATGTTCAGTACTTCAGTACTTTGATTTATGGATGTCATGAAGAAAATCCAGGCAATCACTTAGTAAAAATCAGATCTCTCGACATGCCAGCAACCGTAAGAAAACATGGAAAGGAAAACAATGAACTTTGTTAGTGAAAAATATCGGATGTATTGTAGAGAATATATCACAAGGTCAGTTCATCAGAAGTGTTGCATACAAAATAACAAATAATCAGCTAGGACAGACTTGTAAATATGCAAATGTTGTTTTGACGTCAAACTGTAACTATTTTATTAAAAAAGTGTTATTTCGCGTGGGGTTTTACCGTACATTTTTGTAGAAACTTTTACAAATAAACATATCATGCTCGAAATCCCACTTCCACCTCCTCGTGGTGAGCAGGGGGTAGATGGCAGACGTGAGGGGTATTTTTGTTATTAAATCAAAAATTCTGTACAACTTAAATGTCTCATGACTTGTGTTTACCTGTAAATTGGCAAAAATAAAAAAAAACAATATTGGCGCAAATGATTTTTTTTTTTTTTGCGCAAATGAAAAAAAATAAAATTGGCGCAAATAAAGTACAGATTAATTGGCGCAAATGCAAAACGCCGATAAAAAAAGATATGGCGCCGACAGAAAATCTCTTCAAATTGATTTTTTTTATTTAAGGACTTGAATTTATCCTAAACGTACACCAAGAGGAATATATACCTTTCATCACAGATTCGTCTGGTATACGAGTTGCAATCCATAACCGGAAGTATTCCCCAGACATTAGAGGAAGTGGAATATCCTTAGCAACATCAGTTGAAACAAGCATTGCACTAACTCAGGTAAAAAAAAATACTGCATCAAAATGCATGATTAATATGTCTATAGAATTAAGTTTGGAAAAATTTTCATTCATATAATATTTGGATTTGAAAAATAGTATCAACTTACATGTGTTGACCAACAGGATCACAAGATAGTCGCTTTTATGTTCTTGGGATTTTTTTGGGGGGTGTTGGAGTTTTTTTAACCCTATATATTTTTATTATTTATTCTCTGATTATGTTAAAATGTTTATATGTTTTAATTTCTTTTCACAGAGGTCATTCGTTCGACATCCGGGTTCTGATGGATCCCGATGTGACAAAGAGAACAAATATTATGCAATACTGGTATGTTACATGCACGTAAAACATAATTGATGGTCTGGAGGCGGGGTCCTTTATTTCTTTTTCTTTTCTTTTTTTTATTTTCTAGGCCATTTTTCTCTATACTTATTTTAGTTTGCCCATTATTCTGTATTCTTTATACTTAAACACTCCATTTTTCTCTTTTCTCTATTTTTTGGGGCTATTTTTCTCTATTCCTTATTTTCTTACTCATTTTTCTGCAGTATTGGCCTATTACTCTTTATTCTGTAAAGCTCATCCAGACCCTCATGATTATTGATTTAAAAATAAAGAAATACACCAATAAAAACCGATTAGTCATTTCTTTCCATTTCAATTAATGACTACAAATTGATAGGTTTTTTTTTTACTTCAGAAAAATCACTATTGCACAGTATTAAAGAGTCGATCAATAAGAAACATATTTCCTCGTTATTTGTCCGTCATTTCAGGATATCACAAACTATCCCCTAAAAATTTGACGTTACAAGAGAAAATGTGGCCGAGTATATGTCAATGAGACAGCAAATCAACAACAAAACAACCACAAAAGACATATAGAGAGCAGCATGCAGTCAGCAACACAGGAAAATTGCCCATACAATATGTCAAGCTCTAAATCGGCTGTTGTAATTTTATATGGAAAGTGGTAGAATCTTCAGTCGGGGAAAATAAAAAAAAACAACAGCAAACAACAAGACAAAATACACAAATAACCGATCAAAGGTACTAGTAATTACTGAAAGCTAGTTCTAATCCCTATTTCAAATAATAGATAAAACATGTTTAATCATAACTAAGACTAAAATATCTAAGACTTAATATCGATCCGCGCACTAACAACGGATTTTGTAAAAGACATACATTTGTTTGCACCTGTCCTAAGTTAGGAATCTGATGTTCAGTAGTTGTCGTTTGTTGATGCGGTTCATAAGTGTTTCTCGTTTCTCGTTTTTTATATAGATTAGACCGTTGGTTTTCCCGTTTGAATAGTTTTACACTAGTAATTGTGGGGCCCTTTATAGCTTGCTGTTCGGTGTGAGCCAAGGCTCCGTGTTGAAGACCGTACTTTGACCTATAATGGTTTACTTTTATAAATTTTGACTTGGATGGAGAGTTGTCTCATTGGCACTCATACCACATCTTCTTATATCTATAATCAGCAGTCTGAGTAAAGCATGATCTTGTGCAATGCCAAAATATAAGTATCGACGGTATGTAGGGCCATGAATGTTAATTACTATATATAACAATGCATAAGTATATAATTGGTAGCTGGTTCTAATTAAGCGCCCTGCGATGACCTCTGCGTTGTGATGATGCTAAGAGCCTCACTGCTGTACACTGATCATGAGGAGAACTACTACTAAATATGAATAAAATACTTGTTGTATTCCTTTCTTTTAAATACATTGTAAATCTATTGCTATAAAATCGAGCTCATTACAACAATAATCAAATATTGTAATATTGTAATGATATGAATTTTATTTTAGTGTATGTTTTCATTAAAAACTTTTATTATATGACTATAAATTTTCTCTGTTCTCATTGGCTAAAAAGCATCGGAAATCCTCTTTGATAAAACATTATATTCACCGCGGATAAAATTACGAGAGGTTAATATAAGATTTGGAACAGCGTCCGTGTACCTTAATATAGAAATTCCAAGGCAACGTGAAAGACGTTTATGACGTCATGTAATTTCCCGTTTTTTTCTTTTTCTTCTTGTTTTCGGTGTAATTTTTCTCTTCTTCTTGTTTTCGGTGTATGTTTTTAGTAAACTTTATTGAATATTTCAACTTATGGAAATTAGCAACTTCAAAAGCAGATGATATTTTTAGTATAAAAACAAGGAGCAGTTTTTAAAGGATCTTGAGGAAATACTAGAAAATTGTTGAAGATAAAAAGTCATATATTAATAAAACAATTGTTGACTCTTGATTTCAGTTGATACTATGATTTATCAACCCCAGAGATGTGACATTCATCCTCGGCCGTTGGCCTCGGTGAATGCCATATCTCTGGGGTTGATAAATCATTGTATCAACCTCATCAAAAGTCAATAATTGTATATTATTCTCACATGTGTTGAGATAAATATCATTTGTAATCAATTGTACTATATATCTTTATTTAGCCTCTGTTATGAGAAATAGTGATATAAATAATATATTAATAAATAACACAATATAAATAAAGTTTGAACAGATGAATCTTGTCTGACAATGGCCCATGATTCTTAATAAAACGATGTCTAATGTCTAAAGCCATTGAAAGAAAACCAAGGTCAGTATCGACAAAGACAAGATTCAAAGATCTTTCTTCAACATTTAATTGATAACCTTAAATAATAGGTCGATTTAAATGACCAATAGCTTAACATGGATCCAATCTTAGTTTACAAGCTTTATAAACAACACCCACCATAACAAGTTTTGGGTCCCTTTATAGCTTGCTGTTCGGTGTGAGCCAAGGTTCCGTGTTGAAGACTGCACTTTAACCTATAATGGTTTACTTTTATAAATTGTGACTTGAATGGAGAGTTGTCTCATTGGCACTCATACCGCATCTTATATCTATGATGTGATAAACCGTTTGCAATAAGATTTCTACAAAGAGGACCGCTAGCTGTATTGAAGAAAACAATGAATTTTTGAATCATTTAGTTTTACTACTTGCATTAACATTCTAAATTGATTACGACGATATATTATTTTAAGGTGTGTATGGAAAAATGCATAGGCAAAAGTGTTGCAAATACTTGTGGTTGCCTTAGTTCATGGTTATATGGTACCGATCAAGTTTCTACGATGTGCAGTACGCCTGAAGGTAAATATGAGCAAAAAGAGGTTTACGCCAATTAGACAGCAACCTAATGACAAAAATAACATAGAAGGCACATACAGTCGGAAATCAACAAAAATGATACGTCACACAATACAACAGGGATAGTGATTGCAATCATCTTTTAAAGGCAAACACGGGACATTGTCATATTCAGTATTTATCTTTCTTGAATGGATTTTAAAAAAGTTCAGGTACATCGAATTTACTGCTTAATAATCTACATACATTTCGATTGCGATTTTAAATGTAAAGACTTATTTCGCAGAGACTGTTTGCTAAATATTTCCCACTTATCAAGCGAGACAATTTCAAAATCTTGCACAATATCATTTCATTTGTTCAATATTTCTATATTTAGTTAAATGTTTTCATACCAAAGGGAATTTTTTTTTACAAATTTACAACTTTTCTACGAACAGGTTGTCAAATAATATGCCGCAATTTTCTTCTCAACAATGATTTTTGTCGTTATCTCCATCTCGGTGTACTCAGCAATGACTGTTGCTGTTATCTCCGTCTTGGTGTACTTAACAATAACTTTTGTCGTTATCTCCATCTCGGTGTACTCAGCAATGACTGTTGCTGTTATCTCCGTCTTGGTGTACTTAACAATAACTTTTGTCGTTATCTCCATCTCCGTGTACTCAGCAATGACTGTTGCTGTTATCTCCGTCTTGGTGTACTTAACAATAACTTTTGTCGTTATCTCAATCTCGGTGTACTCAGCAATGACTGTTGCTGTTATCTCCGTCTTGGTGTAATTAACAATAACTTTTGTCGTTATCTCCATCTCGGTGTACTCAGCAATGACTGTTGCTGTTATCTCCGTCTTGGTGTAATTAACAATAACTTTTGTCGTTATCTCAATCTCGGTGTACTCAGCAATGACTGTTGCTGTTATCTCCGTCTTGGTGTAATTAACAATAACTTTTGTCGTTATCTCCATCTCGGTGTACTCAGCAATTACTGCTGCTGTTATCTTCGTCTTAGCTTGGTGTAATTAACAATGACTTTTGCCGTTATCTCCGTCTTTGTGTTCTTAACAATAGCAGTTGCCGTTATCTCCATCTTGGTGTACTAAACAATGAAATTAAACAAAAATGTTTGCATCATAAGGTTAATGGCATATAGATTCCCATTACAAAACATGAACGTTGTCATGTCTATACAAGCGGGGATATGAAGTGGTTAGTTGTTCCAACGATGCTTTTATCTTGAACTTATATCACCGGGAGAAGCTATATCAGTTATACTTCCTTGCCATGGGACGTACTTTTCATTTCGGCTATTTAGTTTTAAAAGATCTGTTAAACGAAAGATAATCCAAATTTTGGAACAGGGTCCACGGTCCATTGCCCATCACAAGAGCATTATAAATTAGTCTTTTTAACAGAAAAATGTATCTAATCCTTTTACCGATGTGTGTATGTCTGTGTGTTGGGTTTAAATTTTGTGAGTTTTCCTATGCAGCTCGCAAAGAAAAGCACCGTTCACGATAAATGTTGTATCATATTCTAACAGACTTACAACTTTTGTAAAGATATGTTGAGGCGGGTGGAGGCAATGAAAATTAAAATAAAAGCGTCATTTTCTTTTTTTTCCATCAGTTATAGTTGTTCAAAGTGAAAGTCATCGGACAAAGCGACGTAACTCAGATCTATATTGATAAAATACTACTGGTTGTTTTTTTCTATGTTATAGATTTCAATACAAAAAAATGAAAAACTGGATGCCTTTGTGATATTCAAATTATGTGTAAACAATGGTAAAGGAACAGAATGATACATTTTGAATAGTCGTTATGTATTTTTGATGCAGAATGCTAATTTTTAACACTATTCTGCTATTCCTTATTTAACCTTTTAGTTGGAATGCCTGCATTATAAATATACAAATATGTTTAATTAGACCGATACTTACGATATACGTATAACTTAGATTTCACTTCTGCAATGACCTCCAAGGTAACAGATTATTCTTTGCATATTGACTCTTTTTAAATTTTTTAACCATTTTTATGAAACATGAGGAACACACTCATACTCATATCATACAACTGTGATGCTATATTTCAGAAATAGACTGTATGAAGATAGTTCAGAGTGCTGCAGTAAGTGTTAGTGCAGAAGACTGTGATTGCAAAGTACCTTGTCGGTAATATATTTATATGTTACTATATATTTATACTCCTCAGAATCTTAGGATGGTACAAAACACCTTGACTAAAATTAATTTGGCTCGTTTAATTTTCATAAAATTTTGACAAAAATATTTACTTTGACCCTTTGACAAAAATATAAAAATTTCAAAAAACTTGAACCACACACTTTATTGGAAAAATTTCATTGGATATATAGCAGTTTGACAAACACTAATTTGATCATTGAGAAGCTTAATATTTCCTTAACAATAGAACGTGATTAAAACGTTCAGTTGATTTTTACAGAGTTATCTCCCTGTAGTGTTATGTACCACCTTAAGTAAATCCAAGCATTTTGTATGTCATATTTTCATTTCTGGTACGATTATTCCTTTCTTTTTTAAATGTGGACCTTTCTCCCATCTGAGAATCTTTATGGGGTTTACAGAATAGAGTATATTGGACAAATGAATTAGGAATACAAAAAAAAATTAAAGAATTCAGAATAAGGGAGTAAATGGACTGAAAATTAGTAGAAAATTAAAGATCTAGTGATGAAAAACTCACGCGATAATCCAGACTCTCATATTTATACAAATGTGAAAGTGGACATACAATTTGAAGTTCTGACTACAATTGTTTTCGGTGATTCAAATTACATACGTAATTAAAAAAACGAGAGCAGACTCTGAGTCTACAACGTAATATAGGTATAATATCGAAAATCAGTAAAGGAAGATGTGTTTATAAAGTCAATGAGACAACAATCCAACAACACGAATATCAAAAAACACAAGTTCAAGGGAAACGAACACGTACAGGTCTGTTTGAAATCCCCAAACGGAATCTGATGACCACAAAAAATTAAAAAAAAAAACCAACAAAAACGAATCACAGGAGGCATTTTTTAGGTAGCGGTTTTATATGAAAGGTTATTTGCTTATAGCAAGGAGGTTATTGTCAGGATATGCATAAAACTATTTTTTAACGATTAGTATTTATGCGTTGAGTTAAAACATATTGTGTATTTAAGAATTTGTGTTCCCTGAGTTTTATGCGTTGCTCATATAAATACTATACAGATACGATTTTTATGTTGCTTCTATTCAATCGTTTGTGTTTTGATTTCCGTTGAAAACCGGAGTTGGTAGGACAAAGCCGAGGTTAACCGATGTTTTGATTTCCGTTGAATACCTGAGTTTGGTAGGACAAATCCGAGGTTAACCGATGTTTTGATTTCTGTTGAAAACCGGAGTTGGTAGGACAAAGCCGACGGAGGTTTACCGGAGTAGGTAGGACAAAACGAGATTAACCGATGTTTTGTCGAATATTGCAGTCTGAAATTTTCAGCGATCATCATGACTTATTATTGTGGTCTACCATATATGTTAACTTCAATGAAGGTCTGGATAGGGGTCTATTTCTTTATTCGTTATTTTTAGACCATTTTTCCATATTCTTTATATATTTTGCCCTTTGTTTTCAATTCTTTATAATCTACATTTGTAGCAGCACACCATTTTTCTCTATTCATTATATTTTTTTGTCTATATTTCTTTATTTGTTTTTGCCCTTTATTCTGCACTTTTTGTCCATTAAAAAGTAACATATCTATTATATATAATATACATTCCAAGACATCAAATGTTCAATGAAACATTATTTCTCTGCGTCTCAAGGATAAATATTGCACGTTTGTGTTACACCTAAACAGACAACCAAACAAAATTTTAGAACCATATCACGTTCAATACTGACTTTTCTTTAATATTTTAGAGAGGTGACCTACAATAAAGAAGTTTCTACTACTACATACCCAGCAGTCAACCAACAAGGGGTTCTAGAACGAATTCTTAACACAGACAGCGCTTCATTTGGCACATTACGGTAGGTTTTAGACAAACAGAAGCTGCACATTCTGTTTAAATATTAACGATATTAAAAAGTTCAAATAAATGATAACTTTTTCCGACTGTGCACTATATAGGTCAATAAAAAAAATAAGCAGATATGGTATGATTTCCAATGAAGCAACTATCCATCAAAAAACACCGATGGAGATAAAAATAAGGAGATTTCAAGGATAAAGAAAACAAGTTTTCAACTATCCACCAAAGCACAAAGATGGAGATAAACATAAGGAGATTTCAGGGACAAGGATTTTTTATTATTTTTAGGTCCATTTCAGTCATATAGCTCTTCAACTGTTTCGGTTCTCATACATCCTTGGCCATCAAATATTCGGCTTTCAGCGTTCCTGATGAATTAATGTAAATCCAGAAAATTGCTTCAGATGCATGAAATTTAAAAAGTGTTGTTTTCATTTTTGTCAAAAATACCAATAATCAGTTGCAGAATTTTATTTTTGACCATGAGTATGCATACATTAAATGTTTTAACCTAACCTATTGTCATTGGTAATTACAGGGAAAGTTTGGTGTATCTCAAGGTGTATTTGGCTTCATTAACAGATGAATTGACAGAGGAGGAAGTAGCATATACAGTGAGTTATTGAACATATTTCAAATATATATTTTATATTTTATTAGAATCCTGATTAAATCAAATGATAAACTACATTGTACATCTTGTTAAGAATATGGTATACCAATAGACTATATATTTTATATTTTATTACAATCCTAATTAAATTAAATGATAAACTACTATTATATTGTACATGTTGTTTTGAATATATATATGGTATACCATGGAAGTATTATATTGACCATGGGTAAACTATACCAATAGCCTAAGACTATTTTCTTATTACCGACTTCTGACTCTGGAGTATACAATGTTTCGACAGGTTACCTACTCTGTGGATATGCTATTCTGGAACTCTGTCAAGTAAGAGCAACTAAACGAAGTAAAATCAATAGTCTGTTAGTTCAAACGGTTATTTTTAGTGGTGAACCAGTAATGTTTGCATTTTATCGGGTAACTTTGGCAGTTTTCTATTCACTGTGATCATTCAATAATATTAAAATAAGAAGATTTGGTATGATTGCCAATGAGACAACTGCCCATAGAGCAAAGAGCAAAGATATGAAGAATGACCGTACGGCTTTCGACAATGAGCAAAATCCACAACGTATAGTTAGCTTAAAAAAAAGGCCTCGATATGACAATATCTGATGCCATTCAACAGGTCCATTGATATTACCCTTACCTATTTTTGAGAGATAAATGCTGGAGTTGTAAAAATATTAGAAAATTAAATAAACACTTTTATAAATAATTGCTTGTGTCCGATGTGCTCTACTGGAATCATCCGGAATCCTCACACCTCAACATTTGAAAGCAAGAAATTTGTAAATACGTAGAAACGTTAGGAGCTATATGACTAAAAAGGACCTCAACAAAATAACCAAATTCATCTAAGGTCAACTCTGCCTGAAAATACCAATTAATTAGCTGTTAACCGACTTCGAATAAACTATTTAAAATATTTGAATAATTAAGATGAGCAAATACATCATCACCGTATGATGTAAAATAAAGAAAATAAAGATTAATCTGAATCAGGCACTGAAATGTCACATGTATTATTCATAAAATTGATCAAACCAAACGTTCGTACATAATGTAGTATTGTCTCCTGCGGTTTGAGTGTGACAGCTATCTACCAACAGCAAGTCACATTCACCATCTTTTCAAGCTGTTCTTTTGAGTCGAATAAATTGTAAAACAGGTTTAAAGGTGACCTTGATTTCGCATAGTAAGAAGCCTGAGCTTTAACGATAAGACAATGATTATTGATATTTGCACTAACATAATTTGTTTTAGTTTCAATTCTATGAAAGACAAGAAAACGTCTTTTTTTTCTCTTTTACAGGAAGAAAATTTTGTCAGTGACATAGGTGGCCAGCTAGGATTGTGGGTAGGAATTTCAGTTCTAAGTATCGCTGAAGTGATTGAACTTATTATATTGCTCTGCATTTGGTGCTTGTCAAGAAAGAAAGACTCAAAAACAGACGTGGAGAACTTTGACAAGAAAAGAAGTAGTATTGCTAATGATTGATGAAAAATAGCTACCTAGTAAATCATGTATATAAATAATAAGAACTACAAATTTGTTATATCAATATCAACTCTGACTTGTACAATATAATAAATAGATTTTTATTGTTCCACTGTTTTTATACTTTCCAGCAATAACAATAACGGTACCAATTTTACTGCACCAGATGAGCATTTCGACAATTATTACCTCGTTGCTCGAGGACAAAATATTTAAAATTAAAAACCTAATACAAAAATTCCAAAGCTTGTAAACCAAGAAAGAACAAAAGTATAGCCGACTCCGGACAAGGGATCAGAGCTTTGCATGAGGGAGATACACTGCTTTTAATTCCTAATTGATTTGCACACTTTTATAGCAGCAAATTTAAAAAAAAACAATATCCGTATGTTCATGTCAGCACCGAAGTGCAGCATGCCCCCAACGAAACTTGTTTCAATTCAAAATACTTCTATTGTCTGGAAAATTAGAATAAAAAATTTGAAAACTTAAAATGTATAAACACATATAGGAGCTTAGTGGCACAGTATCGTTCCCTTGACAAGGGATAGAGTCCCCTTTATAAGGCATATCGCAGATAAAAGCAATTGAATTCCATTTCCAGTCTGATTGTTACCATGCATGGTTTGTCTATTATATTAGTGGCATATAAAAATTAGAAGATGTGTTATGATTGCCAATGAGACAACTCTCCACCAGAGACAAAATGACGTAGAAGTTGGCAACAATAAGTCACCGTACGGGCAATAAGCAAAACCCATACCGCATAGCAAATGTAATGTGCAGTTGCAGTGTGACGCAAGACTGTTACTGTGGCTGGCTTTCGTAAGAAAGTAAAGTTGGTATATCTATCACTCAAATTTACGGTCTTTCGTCTACTCGTTAAAAAGGTAGTCTTCATCTGATACAACATTACTCATTAGATATTAACCAAATAATTTCATCACATCGTTCCAATCTCCAAAAACTAGATTGAAAAGATCAGATCGTCGATAATAACAGAAAATGCCTATATTTTGATCATCATCCACGATATTATGTGTAAATAAATATTCCTTAAAAACTGAATCATATAGATGATAGTATTCAATTATAGCTTCTTTGTCTCCACCGAAAAAGGCGCCGTTCAAAACAGGTGCAGCTTGTTCTTTATATATCTCTAATTCATATCCTTTGAAGGCGTCTGGGTTCTCGTACAATTTAATGTAGGTAATTTTATTTTTCAATTTAAGCAGATTTTTTGGTTCCCAGTATTTTGTTGCCGTAGGAAAGAAAGTCCGATTTCCATGTCCATACCCGGCATCGATCCAGAAAAAATGGGATGTATGAAACGGGTCCTTCTCAACAGCCTCTTTCATAAATGATAATTTATTGCTCATTAATATAATATAATCAGCCGAATAAGCCTCGGGATGGTCTAACATTTTATTATCTTTCTTGAATTCTTCAGATGACAACGTCTCTTCTATTTTGTTCCGATATTTAGCATATTCCAGTTGAGAAAATGGTATTACAATTGTATGTATGTTTTTATGAGCAAGGTATTCACTGTTGTACTTTAAAAGTAGTAATGTTGAACTATCACAAAACAAAACAAGCTTTGTTTTAAGTTTAAGTATATTGGTAAAATAACCAAGGTACTCTTTGAATGATCTTTGAAATGATTTCCATTCTTCACGATTTATATCGTACAACACCGAGACCAAAGTAGCAGAATTTTCCTTTTTATTGTTGCCTGTCAATAGAAAATAAATGATAAGATAAGGAAACGAATAAAATTAGTACGATCGTTTTTATTTTGTTTTTTTTTCTAATGTTTTTGATTGCTCAATTTTGCTACGGTTTTGTTTTGGTTGGGTTTCTTCCAAAATATGTAAACATTTATGAAAATATATACTACAGAGTGTGAACAAAGTCCCAAAATCGTATTGGCCCCGTATTGGTAGAGGCAGCATTCTGGTCATGACTCTACATATTCCCGTAGGAAGTGTGTTTCTTAAATCTTACGCAATGATTTCTATTAATAATCTATCATTTAATAGTATTATCAATTTATTGCTACGATTCGTTTGTATTCGGTAACAATTTCATTTCTGAATTTTGATTAAACAGTCGAATGTTGACTCGAAGACACCGAGTTCTGCATGTTCAAAGATATCCTCACTGTTATAGGTTGGCCGTCAAAGAATTTAGAGGGACTTTTAGAGTACCCAATATCAGAAACTTTAATCCATACAGCTGTATAATTATATGTACAAAAGCAACTTAGAAAGATTTGCTATAGTTCAGTTGCTCTGAATTAAGCCGATAGCAGTTTACCGATGTTCAACCTTAGGAATCGACTAAAAAGATGCAAATCAAGATAACAAACAAAAACTGAGGGAACCGCATGAACTCCAAAAGAAGCCGCGAGACCGGGCGAGTCGAAAGGTTATCGTCTCCTGTTTTGAATTTATCACTCGTCATGCGAATCTACAATCCGATTTTGAACTTTTTTTAAGTTTTACGTCCGAATTCAACTCTCAAGTAGTAAGCAACCTTGAAATGACTTGTAATAAGGATGTATCTAAATGAGCCATTGAGTACGTCGTTCAATCAAACCTACATTTTATGGTTCATTAACTTGAATGAAGTTCTACGACCGAATTCATATCACATACCTAATGGCATATAATCATATAACTTAATAGTATTGTAAACTGTTGTTTGTATATCGGTCGTTTTTCGTTTTTTTGTAATGGCGTTGTCAGTTTGTTTTCGACTTATGAGATTGAATATCCTTTGGTACCTTCCGCATCTCTTTTTTCTTTGTAAAGATATATCTTTGAAAGCATATCAGCCGCTAACATAAAGTGAGTCACTATGACCTATATTTCACGCGTCGTCTAACTTAATGTATTTTTAAAGCTTACCGTTCGAGTTAAGATACTTAGTATCATACAGTCATATAACTCTTGTGTAAGAAAGCATCACTTTCACAGAAAATTTGTGAAAAGTATTCTACTCTTTTCTATTTAATAGATATGATGATTAATATCTGTCATTCCGTCATTCCTCAACGAACAGTTATACGGCTTTTTTTCTAAACGTCTTCTCATATTGAGCTGATATTTAGTATGTGAGATTATTATGATAAGATACAGATCAAGTTAACATTTGGTTTGGTTCCGCTCCGCTGATTCGTGCCGAAATTACATGCCTAGACTTGCGAACCTGTCTTACTGTTATGTTTTACTTCGTTAGAAACTGTCAACATATATTAAACCGTATGAATGTCATGTCATCGTAAAGTTTTTTTCAAAAAATCTTTCTACTTTCCTACTACAAGTGCCGAAAGTGCAAAATTCAAAACGTTAGTTGCTGTTGTGGTGATTTAAACATGTTTATTATTATTATTTCTTGGGCAATGATATACACCAAGAAATAATTATAATAAACATTTTTAAATCACCACAACAGTAACTAACGTTCTCAATTTTGCACTTTCGGCACTAGTAGTAGGAAAGTAGATATATTTTTTTAACAAAACTTCACATTTTTACCGGGGTAGTTTAGACACAGTGATATAGCAACCCAAACAAAGAACCAAAAAAACATAACCTTCAATAGTAGAATTAAGGATGTTCGCTCCTCTTTTTTTTGATTTTTTTCCAGATATTCGGAATCCTCTGGTTTTATCCATGTAGTGCCATTAAAAAATTTGCCCACTGACCCTTACTTTTCTTTCCATAATTTGATAACATATAGTTTAAAAGTCATCTTTTTTTTTTTTTGAAAATCTTATAAAATCCTTGTTATTTTTTCATCGTTTTTAAAAGAAAAAAAGGTGCCAATGTTAAATGTATGAAAAATCTAGAGAGAATTATTTCCAGTCAAATTTCCAATGGCTTATATCTCGAAAACAAGAGCACGGGACCCTTCATTTTTTTTTCTGCTTTTTAGTTTCTTATTTATATTCTATCAATTTATAACAGTCTTTTAAAAAGCTTGTTATTTTGAAACAGAGTAGCGAACATCCTTAAGAATAAAAATAGATGTGACGACATATATATTGAAGATGATTTCTTAAGTCGTGTGTTCAGCCATTAGTTCTTTTTTTTAAACAAGCGTTGTCGTGCTATGTATTCTCCCCTTTTCAATTCAGTGTATCGGAAATAGATAGTAGGTGTCCGAGAAATCCATGAAAACAAGTCAACAATTATAACGCATCACTGTTGAGTCGCTGACTAAATACGAAGTCATTCTGTTATTGAACTACTTAGAAAAGTGTGAGGAAAAAAATTATTGAACAGACAGACGGACGTACATTGTAATTGCAATATAGTCCCCACTTTTAGAATGAGATATAATGATCATACATTGTTTCGCCATTATCACCAGTGCTGTGCTTACCTTTCAGAAATAGATGTTCTTTACTTCTCCTTCCTAGTTCTCCTTTAAACAAGTAGTTAAATCCATTCCAAGAAGTTACGAAATAAACTGTGAAAAACAGAAATAAAGAAATTGGTATCAGTTTCCTTTTTAAGAAGAAAATTCGAGGCATTGCCTATTGTGAAACCGAGCGAAGAATCGCAATTAACTAACTATCAAATACATGCAGCTGTCGTATTTCATGTTAACTGACAAATTATTATATTTAATCTATTAAGCATTCATATCAAACTAATAAAAAAAAAACATTCTGCACAGATGCTACAATTCGACCGAATAATTAACAATATGAATTGTTTTGTACTTTGGATAATACTATTGACAATTGATTAGAAAGTGAAGAAAAGTAAGGTCATTCGAATTTTCCGTCCCAATAATCAACATTTTCATGAAATTATTTGAAAATGATAAAAAAAAAAAATATTTAAGATAACAGACTTAACATTTGCAACCCCAGACTCATCAGTGACGCTCGAATCAAAACTTCTTAAAGGCCAAATTAAATACTAATCAGAGCTGAGTTATCCTTCTTAAATTATTACTGTCTTATCAAAGGCCGAACCCTAGAATAATAAGCGATAAAATAATACTACAAACGACTCTTTTAAGAGATCAGATTCGAAATCTATTTTAAAAATTA